TACGATTCCTGAATCCTGGAGTTATTTTTTGTACATAATTATAGGGGAGGATCTAATTCCATTGTTTTCCACGTGGATAGCGATTGTTGTAGCACTGTGTTGGGACAGAGCCTCCCCTACAGCTCTGTTCCGGCTCTGTCCCAGTAGCTTATTTCCTACCTCTGCCCCGGGCTGCTCTCAGCAGGAATGTGTTTGGGATTCTGTTGGTTCTTACGCACATGCATTTTGAATGTGTTGAGGACAGTGGGAGCTGGGAGCTTTTGCAGGTGAGGAGAGGACCTGTCTGTTCACAACCTTTTAAAATAGGGTCACCAGACCACACCAAATCTGGCCTACCGTCTGTGTCTTCATGGCCTATGAATTAAGAATGGTTTTTTCACTTTTTAAGTAGTTGAGGAAAAAGTAAAATTTCATGATGCATGAAAAGTGTACGAATTTTAAATTTTGTGGCCCTAAATAGAATAATCATGTACCTTTGTTTAGGTGTTGCCTTTGGCTAATTTTATATTACCAGGGTAGATTGAGAAGTTGTGACAGAAACTTTGAGGCCATCGAAGGCTGATTTTTTTTTTTTTTTAAGGATTTATTTGAAAGAGTTAGAGAGGGGGGAAAGACCAGAGGTCGTCCATCTGCTGGTTTATTTCCCAGGTGGCCAAGCTGAGCCAGGAGCTAGGAGCTTCATCCGGGTCTCTCATGTGGGTGGCAGGGCCCAAGCACTTGGGCATCTTCCACTGTTTTCCTAGGCCATAGCAGGGCTCTGGGTCAGAAGTGGTGCAGCATAGGGGTGCTGGCATTGCAGCTGGAGGCTTTACTGCTTGCCACAGCACCGGCCCCTCAAAGGCTGAGATGTTGACTCTCTGGCGCTGTACAGAAAGAGCTGTGACCTCCCAAAATGCCTTGGTGTGGACTCTCAGCGGCAGCCTGAGTCCTGGCTGAGACATGGTGGAGTCTGGAGAAGTGTTAAAAAAGCAGATGTGTGGGCCGGCGCCACGGCTCACTAGGCTAATCCTCCCCTGTGGCGCCGGCACCCCGGGTTCTAGTCCCGGTCGGGGCGCCGGATTCTGTCCCGGTTGCTCCTCTTCCAGTTCAGCTCTCTGCTGTGGCTCGGGAGTGCAGTGGAGGATGGCCCAAGTGCTTGGGCCCTGCACCCCATGGGAGACCAGGAGAAGCACCTGGCTCCTGGCTTCCGATCAGCGCGGTGCACTGGCCGCAGTGGTGCAGCAGCCATTAGGGGTGAACCAACAGAAAAAAGGAAGACTTCTCTGTCTGTCTCTCTCTCTCACTGTTCACTCTGCCTGTCAAAAACAAAAACAAAAACAAAACAAAAAAGCAGGTGTGTGGGTCTGCAGAGATGAGTTTCAGAAGTTGGCCCTATGCTGCTCGTGGCAGGAGATGGAACTTTTTTGTTTTCTGTTTTCAGTGGAGCTCAGTCGAACCAGTAACCGAGGTCTGTGATCCTGGATCTCTGAACTTGTGTGCGTTTTAATAGTGTTTCTCAGCCACAGTGCTTCAGCTGTGTAAGCCACATGTGCAGGTTCTAATGAGATCAGAGGTATGAGAGTAAATCTCCTAACTAGTGTGTGAGTCTTGGTCCAGGCTTTGTGAAGGCTCGCATTTAGTTCTCTTTTCAGCAGGAGGTCCTGCCTGATGAATTAATTGTGAAGTGTGTGCATAAAGTATGTTATACCCATCTAACCTGTTACATATAATCACAGGCAGTTGTCTTTAATTTTACTCAAACAGGGCTTGCCAAGATTAAACCTACAGATCTGTTCAGACTTGAAGGAAATGAAATTCTACCTTTTGTATAATTCAAAGCATTTCTTTTTGTTTGTTCTGTAATGTAACATTTCACTTACACATTGTCTTCAGGGTATGCATTCCTCTCTAATAGGAATGTCTAACGGTTGAATTTTAATTGTCCTTGTAAGTACTTTCTGCCTTCTGTGAATGAAGCAGCTAAGCTTTTTAAAGTCTTTGTGAATATTTTTTGTCAGTTTGGTTAAAGCAGAAATGACAGCAGTTATTATTATTAATAACGTTTGTAATGTAGGCATGATTGACTGATCTTTACCCGCTGTTTCGTTGCTGTTAATCCCGCACATATTTCTGCCTTGTCTTGACAGCCAGCGTGGTTGTGCAGATGGGAGCGCTTCAGGACCACTTGGGATCTGTAGTGGCGAATGGTTTTCTTTCAAGGCTTTGGGGAAGGCACAGAGAGAGTTAAATGCTTTCATAGCATTTACTGTCAGTGAACAAAAGCTTTGACCTCTCCTCATGAAAATCGTGTATATTGGTTAAAATATAATGAATAGCGACTGTAGCTGATAACTGTAGAGGAAAGAGTTTTTTCCTCCTTGTTACAGAGGGAGAGAGGTATTTGAGACTATCCTGCTCTCAGGAAGTTTAAAATAGTTGATAGGTACGGCACTCTCCCCGTCTCCCACACGCTATCCATTCTACTTTTCAACGAGGAAGGAGAAATTAGATGTTTGTTAAGTAGAGGTCCTGATATACATGCGTTGTATCTACATCTTGAAATGCGATCATTTTTAAGGCTCTGAGTCTGGGTTTTGTGGATTTCTTAGAGGGAAGGGAAGAGTTGAGCTGATGGTTCCCTATGTCCTCCTTTCAGTTCTTTCTGTTTTTTTATTTTATTTTATTTTATTTTATTTATTTGAAAGAGTGACACAGAGATTTTTCTATCCACTGGTTTACTCCCCCAATTGCCCACACAACTGGGCTGGGTCAGACTAAAGCCAGGAACCTATAACTCAGCCCAGTGTTCCACATGGCTGGCAGGGACTCAAGTGCTTAAGTCATCCATTGCTGTCTCCTAGGGTGCACTTTAGCTGTACTGGAAGTGAAGGCAGGACTTGAACCCAGGCACTGTGCTGCCACACCTGCCCCGACTCAGCTTGGCTTCCTGGGTGCTTGGACTTGAGAACAAGATCTTGATGTAGGCAGAGGGCTCTGTGTGTGAACAGTCTCATCACTGCTCAGGCTTGACCTTGGGCGGATTCAGTTAGTGTCCGTTCTGGACCCTACAGAGAGGAAAGAAGATAGCATTCAGTACCCAGTGACTTGCATTCTAACTGGAGAGTGAAAGTCAGTGGGCTTCAGTCTCAGGAACGGAGTGGGGCATAGATAGGGCCGGAGTTTACTGGGCTGTGTGTTTCCAGGAAGCTTCCGAGTACAGGGGATTCTCGCAGGCAGCACACCCAGTGGACATGGCCTGGAGCAGCTTTCTGCTGGAGTGGTAGGTTTGAGCAAAGACACAGGACCAGAAGTGCTTGTTTCCAGGATCCACGGTGTATAGCTGTGCCAGTGGTCACCCTCCCCGTGTGTGTGTGTGTGTGTGTGTGTGTATGTGTGGGGGGGCGGGTTGAAGAGCACAGATGAGTATAAAAGAGACAGAAAGCGATCTTCATCTGCCGTTTCGGTCCCCAGCTGCTCACAACAGCCAGAGCTGGGCCAGGCGAAGTCAGGAGCCTGGAACTCCATCTCCATCTCCCGTGTGGGAACCACCGCTCTGCCTCCCAAGTGCTCATCAGCGGGAAGCTGTGTTGGAAGCAGAGCACAGTTGGAACCCAGACATTCCGTTATGGAATGTGGGTGTCGTAACCTCTGAGCCGAATGCCCGCCGTACTTTTTTCTTTTTTTAAAATTAAAAATCTTTTATTTGAGAGATGGGGGAGTGGGAAGAGAGGTTGATTGATTGAGAATCAAGATCCCATCCACTGGTTCACTACCCAAATGCCTGAAACAGCCAGAGTGAGGAACTCAATCCTGGTCTCCCATGTGGTGGTAGGAACCAAACTATGGAAGCCATCCATTGCTGCTGCCTCCCATGATCAGCGTTAGTAGCAGCTGGAGCTAGGAATTGAACTTGAACTGGGGCATTCCATGTAGGGTGTGCACAGGCTTCCCAACCTGGTGCCTTAACCAGTGGGCCGAATGCCCACATCCAGATCCACCTAAAGGCCAAGACCAAGAAAAGGTCCTAAGTGTTGGGATCTCTATGATCTTTTCATAAGATCAGACCACACCATCTGGGGTCCCAGAAGTCTGATGTACAAGGAGGGCATTGTCTCCTCTGTCCTGGAAGTGTCCTCTGCGGCCTCTGAGCTGTGCAGTAAGCTGGGGCAGCTTGGTGCCAGCTCCTCCAAGTCTGGTTAGTTCAGGAAGAGCTGTAGGGGAGCCCAGGGACAGTGGTCATGTGTCTGAGTGCAGCAATCTCTTCAAGGGCCCTGCTGCAGTTCTCCCGTCACATTTTACAGATCGCTGCTTCTGTAGGGGTCTGTGAGATGAGGAAGCTGGCCTGCGTTTGCGTGTCCTGTTGCTCTGGGTGACAGCCAGTGGGGGCAGAACTCCCGGCACAAGAGGCAGGCGGAAGTTGAGGTGCACAGAGGGCCGGCTGCAGGTTCGTCCTTGTCCTGGGCATGCACACTTTGCACGTCCCTCTCCCTTTCTCCGGGTTCCCGTCCTGTCCTCCCTCTCTGTATCCACACGCATGCAATGGGATACATGGAAATTGGGTGTGCTGCCACATGCCTGTGTCAGGGAGTGGACAGCGCACCTGTCCTCCAGCCCACGGCCTCCAGGAGAGCTGTTTCTGGTGACCAAACTTAGGTGCATGCTGGGTGATGAGGCACGTCCGTAAGCAGGACTGGAATTTGGATTCTTACGGGATGAGAAGTAGCTTGGTCCGAATATTTCTGTTGGAATAGTGACTGCCAGTTATGGGCTGGCTGAAGTTACTTAACCTTATCTCTGCCTAGTTAATCTGTGAAGTGGAGAGCGCAGTGCTGGCCTGCCAGTGTTACTGCAGAGATTAAATGAGATGAGTGAGAACAGTGTCTGTAGTTAGGGCTCGGAAGTAGTAGCTCTTCTGTGTTGTAAGTGAGGAGCAGGAACAGACAAGCCCAGCAAGTGGAGCGAGTTCCCAGTGTAGACATTGTCTTCTCTTCCTGATTTGTGACAGTTTTGTCCTCTTGCAGAGAAACAGCACCCAGGACTATATTCCAGAGAGTCCTGGATATCCTGAAGAAATCTTCTCGTGCAGTTGAGCTGGCCTGCAGAGACCCATCCCAAGTGGAACATCTGGCTTCCAGCCTGCAGCTCATAACAGAATGCTTCAGATGTCTCCGGAATGCTTGCATAGAGTGTTCTGTGAACCAGAATTCCATCAGGTGTAGTATTCCTCGTGGTTTCACACTCACCTGTGTGTGTGCGCATGCTGGTTCTGTCTGGTGGAGGTGGTTTCGCTGTTGTGCTGTCACTCGCTGTTAACTACCAGGTTGTCCTTTGCGTTTCCCTGGGGAGGCCCTGTCTTGGGCCAGTGTCCTGTACACACAGAATAGAGTGTGTTTCATGTTAGGGGTTATTTTGGCTTCTTACCATATTCAGAGCATGTTTCAAAATATTTGGTTCTGTGCATAGCACCGTGGGTTGGACCTTCCTTTTTCTAGATTGTCCGTGCTGAAGTTCATGTGCAGTTCTTGAACTCACTTTTCTTAGTTGTAAATTTAATTGCTTTTAATGTTTTAACTTATTACCCTTGTGTTTACTTTGACCAAAAGCATATTTTGCAGCTTTTCAAGAGGACCTGTTTTTCCTTAAGATCGTGTGAAGTACCAGGCTCCACTTACACCTATTTCGTGTGTGGGGTCTTCAGAAAGGTTATGGGAAATTCATATTATGAGAAAACTAGCATGGACTTCAAAATTTTTTGTACCAAAAGAAACATCTTTTAATTCCATTTTCCTTGAGCATTTGTGAAGTGTTTTCATAACACGCGTTTTAAAGAATAAAGAACCAGCAGAATTCTCAGTGCTCTGCTGCTCCTTTTCATGTGAATCTCTCTTCTCTGATGGAGATGTTTCCTTTTTGATTCTGTGGAATCTACTTTTCATTAAAACTGCTATTTGAGATGAAGTCAGAGGCCACCGGCAGGAGGCCCACCTCTCTTTCCTGGACCTGTCTGCAGACAGAGCCCCCAGGCTGCCTGTCACTGGGCCGGGCCAGGGAAGGCTGCTGTGGAAGCCACTTGAGGGACTCCCTGCGCTGCCCTGAGGCTTGGATATGATTAATGAAATCTTTAAGATCAAAGCAGAGAGGGATAAAAGCTACAGTTGTTTAACCAAACCTGCCATCTGTTTCCAGAAAGAGAGATGGAAACAGGACTACTGTTGCTAATAGTAGTTGCCATAAGTAGTCATGTGCTGGGAGCGTCTAGCCGCATGGCTAGTTCCCTGTGTCCTTGACCAGGTGGGCAGACTCTGAGGTGTGATGGGAGGGCAAGGGAGCCCGAGGCTGTGGGCGCCTGGGTCAGTTCAGCGAGGGGGAACATGAGCCCCTGCGCATGGAGCTGCCCCAACACCAGGGTTTGTTCCGTGTGGTTTGCTAGCTGTATCTTGTTTGATCCTTAGAACAGAGCAGAGTCGTCGTAACCTGCGGTCCTTTTTTGACAAAAGAAGAAACTGTGACTTAGGTGCAGTTGTGGTCTGGGAGTCACTGAGTCAGTGAGGGAGCCTGGGGCAGTCTCTGACTCAGGACCTGTGGCTCCAGACCAAGGCTGTAGGCACAGAAGCAGTCTGCTGCGGCTGTCCTGCCACCCACGCACCCGCCCGTGGACTCTTGCCCCGTCCTCTGTGTGCCCACCTGAGCCTGATACGTGTTGGGGTCTTTGTGCCAGTTTGCTCCTTGTGAAGTGGGCTGGCAGTGTCTTCCTCCCTGGTGAATACCCCCGATCCTGCCGAGCTGCCTCTGCTGCGGGGAAGAGTGGTACAGGTTCATGGTCGTGTGATAGTGTTACTTTCTATTGAAACAGTTTTTATTTTGTGGTAATACAGGCAAGCCTATCAAAATTCAAACATTACAAAACTAAATACTGCCGGCGCCGCGGCTCACTAGGCTAATCATCTGCCTGCGGCGCCAGCACCCCGGGTTCTAGTCCCAGTTGGGGCGCCGGATTCTGTCCTGGTTGCCCCTCTTCCAGGCCAGCTCTCTGCTGTGGCCAGGGAGTGCAGTGGAGGATGGCCCAGGTACTTGGGCCCTGCACCCCATGGGAGACCAGGATAAGTACCTGGCTCCTGCCATCGGATCAGCGCGGTGCGCTGGCCGCAGCGCGCCGGCCGCGGTGGCCATTGGAGGGTGAACCAACGGCAAAGGAAGACCTTTCTCTCTGTCTCTCTCACTGTCCACTCTGCCTGTCAAAAAAACAAACAAAACAAAAAAACTAAATACAGAGGCAAAGTGTCAGACTTCTGACAGGGCCATCAAAGCAAGGGCTGTGTGTGTGGTAGTGGTATCTTTAGTACCTGCAGCTTACGGTCAGGCTGAACTGCAGAGGAACATTTAGGGTGTTTTTTACTTCTAGGATTGTATTCACTGCTGATTTTCAAAGGGAAATTCTCACTGTTTTGGGTCGGAAATACAGCAAGGATTCTAGAAAGGATTTTGTGGCTAACTTTGGTTAAAGCCATCTTTTTGAGGCATCAGGACTCAGATCGCAGCCGTGTGTGTTTTCTGGCGTTTAATTTTAGTTACTGAAGAGTTAACAAGTGTGATGCTATTAGGGCCTAGACTTTTTTTTTGTCTGAGTGTTGCAGTTTGCGGGCACCAGGGCTGTCCTTTGCCGAGGAATATAGAACGGGGGGCAGGGGTGCAGTTTAGCGCCCACACGCAGTCTTAGGGAACTCCTGTGCGTGCTCAGAGAGGACTGAGGGCACTCAGCTGTGTGTGGATAGAACCCTGTTGGTGTGGCCACTCGTCATCTCCGTTAGATTTCTCAGCTCTTCATTAGATGAGGGTGCTTAAAAATTTTAATGGAAAAGTGGAATTAAAAGGTAAGTTTATTTTGGTACACAATTTTTTTGAAATCTATATAATTTTCACATAGTATGCATTTTCTATGAACTTTTTGAAGACCACCCAAAAAAGCAAAACTGCCTTAGGCAAATGTGAAAGAATGAATTGGTTGTAGTCCAGTAAAACTTCATTTTTATTTTTTATTTTCATTTTTATTTTTATTTTTTTTGACAGGCAGAGTGGACAGTGAGAGAGAGAGACAGAGAGAAAGGTCTTCCTTTACCGTTGGTTCATCCCCCAGTGGCTGCATGGCTGGCGCACCGCACTGATCCTAAGGCAGGAGCCAGGTGCTTCTCTTGGTCTCCCATGCAGGTGCAGGGCCCAAGCACTTGGGCCATCCTCCACTGCCCTCCCAGGCCATAGCAGAGAGCTGGCCTGGAAGAGGGGCAACCGGGACAGAATCCGGCGCCCCGACCGGGACTAGAACCCAGGGTGCCAGCGCCGCAGGCAGAGGATTAGCCTAGTGAGCCGCGGCGCTGGCCAAAACTTCATTTTTGAACCCTGAAATTCAAACTTCATAAAATTTCCACGTATGAAATTATATTTTGATTATTTTTCACCATTTAGAGAGCAAAAACCGTCCTTAGTTTACTGGCCAAACGGAAATAGGCAGCAGGCTCATTGGCCTGCGGGGCTGTGTGCAGAAGAAGCTGGACGGGAGGTGGCAGAGCTGCTTTCTGGGAGTTGAGTCTGAGCTACTTTGCCAGTGTCTGCACAGTTTGCAGAAGAGGAGGTGGGGTTGGGGCCCCCAGCCTGCAGGCACACCCGTCCTGGTCTGTGTTGAGGCCCCCAGCCCGCAGGCACACCCGTCCTGTCTGTGTTGAGGCCCCCAGCCCGCAGGCACACCCGTCCTGTCTGTGTTGAGGCCCCCAGCCCGCAGGCACACCCGTCCTATCTGTGTTGAGGCCCCCAGCCCGCAGGCACACCCGTCCTGTCTGTGTTGAGGCCCCCAGCCCGCAGGCACACCCGTCCTGTCTGTGGAAGCTCCTTCAGTAGATTGGCACCTCACGTGGGTCTGGAGAGTCCACCCACTCACATTGGGCTGCTTCCCTTTAGGCAGGAACGTCTTGACATGGTTCTGATTCGGTTCAGGTGAAGTGAAGAAGATAGAGAACTATTAGTTTCCTGTTGCCTCTGTAAGAAGTCATCACAAATTTAGGGGCTTACAGCCACAGAAAATGTTGTTCTGTGGAGGTCAGGAGTCTCTGATGCGTCTCCTTGGCCTGAGTTGAAGTATCTGCAGGGCTGGCATCTGGGTGCTGTAGGGAGAATCCACTTCCCTGAATTCCAGCGCCAGAGGCTGCTCGCATTGCGTGGGTCACGGCCCCGTCTTCCCTCAGGGCAGCCACATGGCATCTAACAGGCCCACTCCCTGACTTGCCCGCCCTGTGTCCTAGTCATGAGGACACGAGGACATTAGTTCAGCCAGAGAACCTAGAATGATCTCCCCATCGAGAACTGGTTTAGTGTCCTCTCCCAAGTCTCTTGTGTTTTCTGGCACCAACTGCACGTGCAGCAATTCAGTTGTCCTCTGGTGCTGTTAGTGGTATCTGCCTGAAGTTAGTGGTGTCAGATCTTGAAGCTCAAAGGCTCGGTCCTCTGACTCAGCTCCCCATTTAGACACCAACTGAAAAGGGGGTACCCAGGATATTCATGTCTGTCCCTGAATTCGGGGGTTCCTTGGTCCCCCGAAGCTTCAGTTTGCTAGGAAGGACTCAGAGAATTGAGGACATCGTTGACTTCCTGTCACTGGTTCATTAGAGAGGATACCACTCGGGAGTAGCAGGCAGAACCAGAGGCGCCTGCCGCAGCGGGCGAGGGCAGAGTGCTGGCTTCCCGGCTCCTCGGGGGATGGCGGCGTCCCAGCAGCTTCCTGTGCTCACCGATCTGGAAGCTCTCCAGAGCCTTGCTTGAGTAAATGGTCAGCCATTGGCCATTGACTTCAGGCTTGACTGTTCTCGGCCCTGAGCTCCCTGGCGGGGCTGAGAGTTCCAGCTCTGATCACCTGGTTGCTTCCTCTGGCCGCCAGCCGCCGTGGCCCCACGCGGAGTTCCTGAGCTTGTGATGGGTTAGAAACGCTGCTGCCGCCATCCGCTCGGGAAAGCAGAAGGGTTCGGGACTCTGAGCCAGGGTCCGAGGACGAGGACGAAGCACAGATTTCTCACTGTGCCACGTCTGTGTTGCCCTCTGAGGTGACATTTTCACAGGATCCAGCATTTAGGATGTGGACATCTTTGGGAGACTGTTCCACAGTTCATCCTTTTGCCGTTAAACCTTCATGTCTGTCCGGCATGCACAACGCGCTCATCCCTTGTGAAGGCCTTCTCAACCCAGTACAGCATCAACTCAAGTTATTTTTTTTAAAGATTTAGTTATCTCTCTGAAAGTCAGAGTTACACAGAGAGAGGAGAGGCAGAGGCAGAGAGAGAGAGGGAGAGAGACAGGTCTTTCCTCTGCTAGTTCACTCCCCAATTGGCTGCAATGACTGGAGCTGCGCTGATCTGAAGCCAGGAGCCAGCAGCTTCTTCTGGGTCTCCCACACGGGTGCAGGGGCCTAAGCACTTGGGCCATCTTCTACTGTTTTCCCAGGTACATTAGCAGGGAGCGCAATCAGAAGTAGAGCAGCTGGGTCTTGCACTGATGCCCATCTGGGATGCTGGCACTTCAGGCCAGGGTGTTAGCCCGCTCTGCACCACAGCGCTGGCTCCTCAGCTCGAATTTAATATGTCTTCTAGTTCTCGTCACTGATCACCTAAAGTATACACGGATGGGACTCGGGGATGCTAAGAAATCATCTGCTCTGACAACACAAGCATAGGTGTAACAGGTCTCCTGTGGCTGCAGTGGCCAGGGCTGGGCCATGCTGAAGCCAGGAGCCTGGAACTCCGTCCAGGTCCCCACACGGGTGCAGGGACCTGGGCGCTTGGCCATCCTCCACTGCTTTCCAGGCACATTAGCAGGGAGCTGGATCAGAAGTGGAACAGCTGGGAGTTGAACCAGCGCCCGTATGGGACGCTGGATTGCAGGCTGAGGCTGAACTGCTGTTCCACGACACTAGCTCTGATCTCAGAGAATTTTGAAACGTAGTTGTGAAACAGCTGCGAGGCTGGGGAAGACTCCTCCCTGACTGGAGGCGCCACAGCCCTTTTCTTGAAGGAAGACGCCTGCCGTTCGCAGCTGCAGTGTGTTGTCAGCTGGTCTCCGGCTGTGGACTCTGGGAGTCTGACAGCCTTGTGCCATTTCAGTCCAGGCTGGCAGTGCCGCTGCTGGAGTAACCTTCTCAAAGCCTTGTGGGTCTCAGGTGCTCGTCAGGGAGTTTTCCTGGACGAGCCCATCTTTGTTCTGGCTTCTGATAAGACTTCTCTGGGGAATCTATTCGGGGCGCCCTCCGGGTGCCCGAGGACTCCGACCCTCGGTCCCCCTTAGGCGCCAGCAGGAGGTTGTGCAGCCACACCCTGTGCTTGCTCTCCAAAGCAGGCCTCTTCCTAGGTTTAGCATCTTTTGCAGTCTGCACAGACAGAATTCTCGTGTTCACTGCACTCAGCAAGAAGGATCAGGCCTCACCGTCAGCATTTGCCTGAAATCTGCTCTGCAGAACAACCAACTCATTGTTTACGTTTTGCGATCCACATAATTAGAGGGTAGAGTTCAGCTCATCTTTTTTTTTTTTTTTTTTTTGAAGATTTATTTTATTTATTTGAAAGGCAGAGTTACAGAGAGGCAGAGGCAAAGAGAGAGCGAGAGAGGTCTTCCATCTGCTGGTTCACTCCCTAGGTGGCTGGTACGGCCGGAGCTGCACTGATTTGAAGCCAGGAGCCAGGAGCTTCTTCTGGGTCTCCCACACGGGTGCAGTGCCCCAAGGAGTTGGGCCATCCTCTATTGCTTTCCCAAGCCGTAGCAGAGAGCTGTTTCAGAAGTGGGTCAGCCAGGACCTGAACTGGTGCCCATATTGGATGCTGGTACTGCGGGCGGCGGCTTTACCTGCTACGCCACAGCTCCGCCCCTGTTGTTTCCTTCTTAGCCCTCCCCAGGAGTGCTTTCAGCATTGGCGATTCTGCCAGAGGTCTGTGGAGTGCAGCACGGGCTTTTCCTGTCACTGCTTCTCAGAGCCTGCACCAAGTTCCAAAGCCACGTCCATGCTGTTAAGTGTCCTGCTTCTGCTGCCCCAGGCGAGGTTGGTTTCCCGGCACTGTGTTACAGATTGTTGAAACAGCACACTCTGAGTACCTGACAGTTCTGGGACTCCGAGTCTACGTGGGAGGTGCGTGTGCTCCTTCCTGCAGCCGTGGGGAGAATCAGCCGGCTTCCTTTGCTCTTGCAGTGTCTGGAGGCCGCGTGTTCCTTGGCCTGTGGCCCTCCCAGACTTACTTTCCTGTCTGCATAATCCTGGAAGATCTTCCCGTTGTAAGACCCTTCAGTAGTCTCATTTGTGAAGTCCCTTTTGCCATGTGAGGTTGCGTGTTCACAGATTCGGGATTTAGGATGTTGATGTCTTCGGAGAAGAGTTGCTCCGCCTGTGACGGGGTCTGTTAACCAGTGTTCTTAGCATCACGCATGGAGTTGTTACTTGAAATGCAGTGTTAAGAAAAACATACATCTAATTTTGTCTTTTTTTAAACTTGGTACAGAAACTTGGATACAATCAGTGTCGCTGTTGATTTGATTCTGCTGTTTCGGGAACTGCGAGTGGAACAGGAATCTCTGTTGACAGGTAACCTGCACTACGAATTCATGGTTATTTTTATCTTTGGGAAGCATTTAAAGCTAGTACTTTGAATATCAGATCATTCATTGCAGCAGATGTTCTGTAACTTAAATAGTGAAATATTAAAGGATTCCCGTGACAGGAAGTGACAGCAGCTTCCTTTGCTGCCTGTTGGTGGCTGACTTGTGGCCCCACCTCCCCCTCGTGTGCTGAAGTCTTGTCTTCTCTGCTTGGCCACCGTGACAGAGCGCCTGTGCCCAGGAGGTCTGTCGGCAGTGCGCGTTGCTCGTAGTTCTGGGGTCTGAGAAGTCCGAGATCGGGCGCCGTGGATCTGTGTCAGCTGAGAACCTGCTCTTTGCCTTAAACATGGTTCCTTCTTGCCGTGTCCTCATGTGGTTTAAGGGCAAAGGGACAAAGAAACTCCCCTCCAGCCTCTGTTAGGAGGTGCCCATCCCATGAGCCTGGTCGGCTCCAAAGGCGCTGCTGCTTACTGTCGACACATTGTGGGCTGGATTTCAACCACACTCGGACAGAAAAGCCTTAACCCCTGTTTGCAGAAAGTGACTGTCCTTGGAGGTAGGGTCTGTAAAGAGTTGGTGGAGGTGAAGTGAGGACATGGACCGGCTCCCTTGTAAGAAGGGATCAGAGCACCCGTGCGGAGTAGAGGCCTTGGGTGGGCGTCTGCCGGCAAGGAGCTGGGCCCAGCTGACATCGCCGTCCTGATAGCCTTCATCCTGGGCTTCCAGCTCCAGAGCTGCCGGGGGATAAGTGTGTGTCTGTGGTGCAGGGACCGGCAGGTTGTTCTAGGCTGCAGATGAGATTTCAGCAGTTTCCAAAGCTTAGAATGACCTTGTGGTGCCCACATTGCCATGAGGGGAGCTCGGTACGAGATCTGCTAAAATCGAATGCCTAGTGTTAGTGGGCTGGCTGCGGACGGCTGTTGGTTTAGGGTCAGAGAAACGCCAGGCTTCCTAGTTTGAAGAGCTGGAGGCTTTCTAGCCTTTCCCAAATGTTTCTGGTCTGTGTGCGACCAGCATTCGCACCTCTCCTTTGACAAGGGTTGTTAGGTTATCACAATATTTAACAAAACTATAGGATTTTAATGTATCATCTGTGTATCCAAGGAACTGAAATAATATGGTATGTTATTTGGTAATCTTATTTTAAATACTTGTATGTAGGCTTGTAAAGTAGATATACTGAATTATAGTTTAAAAGTTTTTGGGGGGCCGGCCCCGTGGCTCATTTGGTTAATCCTCCACCTATGGCGCTGGCAAGCCATATGGGTGCCGGTTCTAGTCCTGGTTGCCCCTCTTCCAGTCCAGCTCTCTGCTGTGGCCCAGGAAGGCAGTGGAGGATGGCCCAAGTGCTTGGGCCCCTGCACCCGCATGGGAGACCAGGAGGAGGCACTTGGCTCCTGGCTTCGGGTCGGTGCAGCGCCGGCTGTGGTGGCCATTTGGGAAGTGAACTAATGGAGGGAAGACCTTTCTGTCTGTCTCTCTCCCACTGTCTGTGACTCTACCTGTCAAATAAAAAAATAGTTTTTGTTTTATTAGAGAATGCCTTTACCTTATCAAATAATTCAGTGGATGCTTCTGTAAATGTGCACTCCTGCTGTGTCTAGTGCAGAGCGTGCCTGCTGAGTGGGTCCCTACACAGGTCTGAGTGCTCACAGTGTCCTACGAGGCATGCCTGCGTTATGCCGTTGGCAGGTAGGTGAGAGCAGAGGCCAGAGTTTGGTTTTTGCAGGCACAGAAGCTAGAGTACCAAGGTGAGACAGGCTAAAATAGCGTGATGGTGGTGTTGCCTGGCTTAGTTAATTCTTTTTTTTTTTTTTTTTTTTTTTTTTTGATAGGCAGAGTGGACAGTGAGAGAGAGAGACAGAGAGAAAGGCCTTCCTTTTTTTCCATTGGTTCACCCTCCAATGGCCGCTGCGGCTGGCGCACCGCGCTGATCCGAAGCCAGGAGCTAGGTGCTTTTCCTGGTCTCCCGTGCGCGTGCGGGGCCCAAGGACTTCGGCCATCCTCCACTGCCCTCCTGGGCCACAGCAGAGAGCTGGACAGGAAGAGGAGCGACCGGGACAGAATCCGGCGCCCCAAACCGGGACTAGAACCAATGTGCTGGTGCCACAGGCGGAGGATTAGCCTATTGAGCCATGGTGCCAGCCATAGTTCATTCTTATTCTGGACTGTGATTTCTTAGTGTTTGCATTTTAAATTTAATTTGCTAAAATTCTTGGGTCTATTTGATTTAGAAACTATCCTTTTGGAATTGACAGTTTCTTTTCTTTTCTTTTTTTTTTTTAAAGATGTATTTATTTACCTGAAAGTCAGAGTTACACAGAGAGAGAAGGAGAGGCAGAGAGAGAGAGGGTTCTTCCATCTGCTAGTCCATTCCCCAATTGGCTGCAATGGCCAGAGCTACACTGTTCTGAAGCCAGGAGCAATGAGCCAGGAGCTTCTTCCAGGTCTCCCACGTGGGTGCAGGGGCCAAGGACTTGGGCCATCTTCTACTGCTTTCCTGGGCCATAGCAGAGAGCTGGATGGAAAGTGGAGCAGCCTGGTCTCGAACCGGTGCCCATATGGGATGCTGGCACTGCAGGTGGCGGCTTTACCCTCTATGCCGCAGCACCAGCCCCAACAGTTTCTTTTTAAAAATTCACTACATCATAAAGAATTTATACACAAGAGGGGCTGCGTGGAGACCTGGAAGAAGCTCCTGGCTCCTGGCTTCAGATTGGTGCAGTTTTGGCTGTTGCAGCCAATTGGTTAGTGAACCAGTGGATGGAAGACCTCTCTCTCTCTGCCTCTCCTCTCTCTGTATATCTTTCAAATAAATAAATAAATCTTTAAAAAAAAAGAATTTATACACAAGATGTTTGCCTTGGTTTCTTTTTTTTTTTTTTTTTTTAAAGATCTTATTTATTTATTTGAAAGGCAGAGCTACGGAGAGAGAAGGAGAAAGAAGGAGAGATTTTTCCATCTGGTTCACTCTCCAGATGGCCGCAGTGGCTGAGGCCGGCCAGGCGGGAGGCAGGAGCTTCATTTGGGTTTCTCACACAGGCACAGGGGCCCAGTACTTGGGGCATCTTTCACTGCTTTTCCAGGTGCATTAGCAGGAATTTGGATTGGAAGTAGAGCATCTAGGACTCAAACTGGCGCCTACGTGGAATGCCCACGTCACAGGCGACAGCCCAACCTGCCGAGCCACGATGCCGCTCCCAGCCCCAGGTATTTTTTTAGTAGTGATAGTGTCTTCAGTGTCCTGAAAAAAATGAAAGGTTGTAGGATTTAAATGTAAAATGTTTTTAAGATGTTATATACTTAAAGGTATTTTTGTAACCCCATTTCATAATTAAAAAGTAAGCCTCAGTACTCAAAATTGTGAGATTAAAAGTCAGCAATAAAGTACATGTTTCCCTGTGTTGCATGGAGAGGCAACTATTTTTGAAATCTGTGTGGTGTGGTAATTCAGTAAGAAAGTCCAGAGTGCTAGGTTTTGTAATTGCTGAAAAATACTCATGTGGTGTGTAGTGTGTCACTGGCAAAACTGGCACGCACTGGTGGGCACAGGTAGTCTTCTATTTTAACGACGTATTCCTAAATAAAGCACAGCGGAAGTGTGGTGCAGATGCTGTGCTTAAACCTCCGTGACACGGAGCCAGCCCTGCACCTGTGCAGTGGCCTTGAACCTGCCCACCTACACGAGCGTCTCCCCTGGCGCCAGGCATGCTTCTCAGCCCAGCTTTAAGGATGTTTGTATTTTATTTATTTTCATCTGCTTGAAAGGTAGAGCGACAGAGAGAGCGTGTGAGAGATCATCCACCCACTGGTTCACTCCCCAGATGCCTGCAATAGTGGGGGCTGGGCCAGGAGCAGCCATGGAACCATCACCTGCCCCCAAGATGCACTCGCAGGAAGCTAGCTGGAAGGCAGAGCTGCCAGGGCTGGGCTGGCCCTCCAGTGTAGGATACAAGCGGGGTGCGCGTGTTGCAGGTGGTGACTGGACCCTGTGTCACCCCACCCATCGCCTCTCAGCATTCGGGGCTCTCCTACTTTCCATCTTCAGAATATCTTCCCTTAGCTCTGTCCCCTCTAGTCCTTTTGGTCTTTTTTTCTGATCTATCCCAAATTTTCTACAAAAAACTTACATGGTTTTACAATATATGGTAAACGATTAGTCCATTCTTCTTTCATGGGTTTAGTTTTTGACTGAAGCAGGTAGATGACCTAAAGAAAAACTTAAAGGAGCAGATATCTGAAATCCCTCATATGAGCCAGTTTGAGGAATAAATTTGTTGTTTGATTGGTGGCTTGGCTGTCATTTTCCATCCACTAGTTCACTCCCCAATTGGCTGCCGCAGCCTGAGCTGTGCCGATCCGAAGCCAGGAGCTTCTTCTGAGTCTCCCACATGGGTGCAGGGGCTCAAGGACTTGGGCCATCTTCTACTGCTTTCCCAGGCCATAGCAGGGAGCTGGATCGGAAGTAGAGCAGCTTGGACTTGAACGAGTGCCCATGTGGGATGCCAGCACTGCAGGCGGCAGCTTTACACGCTGTGCCACAGCACTGGTCCCTAAAATTTGTGTATTTGAAAGGCAGGCAGGTGTGCGTACGTGCATGTGTGTACACACACACGCTGTCGCACACATGCATGTGCAAACATATCTCTTTCATCCTCTGGTTTATTCTCCAAATGCCTGCAGCAGCTGGAGCTGGTCGAGGCTGAAGCTGGGAGCTTGGAATTCCACCCAGGTCTTCCACATGGTGTTGGGAAACCAGTTACTTGAGTCATCACTGTTGTCTCCCAGTGTTTGCGTTAGCAGGAAGTGCTTTGTGGGCTGTACCGGGTCACAGCCCGTGCCCCTAGATCCTATTTTATGTCAGAAAAACTAAGAGTTGTTCAGTTTTGATAGTTGCCAGGAGCCAGGAGCTTCTTCAGGGTCTCCCACGTGGTGCAGGGGCCCAAGCTCTTGCCCTCCCAGGCCATTATCAGAGAACTGGATCAG